TACATGACATTTAAATAGTTTTTATATTTTCAGCAGATAAAATGTAAATGTGCACTGAATCGTCTCAACTTTCTTTACTGGTTCAATTTATTTCGAAAAGCAATTTTAAAATTTAACTGCCTTAATAGCATTTTTACTGTTTATGGGGAAGTTAAAGCAAATACAAGTTCAAATATCGCAAGCCAATAAATTGAGTGCTTATCGCTAACATCTTAAGCAGCTAATAAATACAAATTAAAGCCAGCAAGAAACTGCAAAATTATAATAATAAATTTTATTTAAGTACAACAAATCGTCGCAAATAAACTCTTTCGCCATAAATTTAAACTCCATTAGTTGTCGCTCCACTACTCGCAATTTAACGTGTACGGGTATTTCCCGATAAGGATGCGCATTATTATCGCAATCAAAACGGCACCGAAGGCAACTTGTTTCAACGATCAAACAATAAAAACTGAAGAACTGAAAAACTGAAGAACTGAGTAAAAACAACAACAAAGCCAACAACAAACTCGAATTGCAGAGGTTGCAACGCTACTTACTGGCTTATTAAGAGTTATGAGATGCACTTTTCGGGGAGTCCTTCAGGAGGGATTTATTCCACAAATGCAGGAAAAATCAACGTAAATAGGATACTTCATTTTTATATTCATTTTTGTTTTTATTTGAAAAATTTTTTAAAATCGTGTTAGAAAAATATAAAAATTCTGCAAAGTTGCATTTTTTTCCTTATTTCTCGTTTTTGGAAAAAATTACTTCAAAATAACAAAAATTCTTGTAAAAAGTTTTTGTGTTGGCGTTGCCAGACGTGGCGTCACGTCGTCCACACCGTGTCTAGGTCGTTGTTTGTTTGACTTGTTGTTGTTATTGCCATTTGGGCGAACGTGCATTTGGACTAATATGCGCCTGTTTATATATATATTTTTTCCAACTGCGTAACTGTGTCTATAATTTTGTGTATCCGCAGCTTAGAGCAGACAATCAGACTGTCTCAGCGCATATCCTTCGTGATGTCATTTTTATAGTTTTTACCTACTGGTAGGAACGCCAACGAAAACAACAACAGACAAATAGGAAAACTTTAGTTTTACTCGGTAGTAAGGAAAAGATAGGTAACTGCGACAAGTAAAAAGGAGGGAACTCAGTTTTGATTGTTCGGCATTCGTTTGTGTGGATTGAGTAAGGAGCGGATTTATCCAAGTAATTTTGATCAATTCTTTTGATTTTCTTCGGAAACAACTCTATTTACTTTCAGTTTGCATTAGGCTTTTATTTTGTTTTGGCGCGACACTTTAAATACGCGTATTTTGTCGTTCTTAATGCATTTTACGGTGGTAGCAGATGCCATTGCCTTCGCATGTCCTTTTTTTTCCTTTTTATTTTCAAAAATTCTTACGCCATTCTTTTTGCGACATATCAGTGGCAGATAAAAGTAAATGGCTTTTCGGTACGTTTAGTGTGGCAACTACTGGAACGGTAACAACTCTGTTATTACCGACACTACTTTCTGCTGCACTTGTTCTTGCCACACCATTGACGCCGCTACTTTACAGTTTGAAAACTAATTATGCTTATGGAATTATGGGGATTCTCATAAATTAGACTTTTTCTGTTTTTTGCTTTGTGCACTCGTACCTCCCGTATTGGGTGCTTTCGTAATTCCTGTTAGCCATGTAGTTGCCATTGACTGTGTGGCAGTAGTCGCACTACTACTCGTTGTGGATACTCGCCCTTTGGTGTTGTTGTTGTTGTTTTTATTTCATACGAGCACTCGTCGTTTTTATGTTATAGCGTATTTTAAAATAATTTGTTTTCAAAATACGTGCTTTGGCACTTTTTGTACATTACAGCTAATGGATTTAGATTTTAATTCATTACAATGTTTTTTCTTAAAGTTCGTTTCACAAAAACATCACAGCATATTTGTTTGTTGCGCTTTTTGTTTCACTATGTTACACATCATAACGTTCGGGGCACAAACTAATTTCACTAATGTAAGTTTAAAGTAATAAAGCCAAACTAATAATAACGCATCTAAATTGGTTTTTTCAATTTACATTACATTACATAGCATTACAGCAATTTGCATAAACATTATGACAATTCTTTCAAATAAACCAAAATCATAATGGAACAACAGGGATGTAAATACCGTTCTGCGTGATATTACTTCCAAATATACGTGCTTCAAAAGTTAAGTCA